TTTTTATTCATTTAAATGTTCTTTCTTTTTATTTTTTAATCATATTTTTTGAATATGCATATGTAAGAGGATTCCTTCTTATTGATCGAGATGTTTGAAACACGTCTCATTTGCATAAAAAATACTACCTCTATCTCAAAAAAAATTCATTTCAAAAACATTAAACCATGAATTTGATTAGTATAGTATTATGAAAGTAATAAATTTTAAACTTTTATTAAGAAAGTACTTTTAAGAAATAACATTTTAATATAATTTTTTATATTAAAAATATTTTCCAATAAAAAATATAGTTGATCAATGTTTTGAAAACGGCAAAGTTTATTGGGACGGAGATAGTATTGGTAATACATGTTACAATATTGTGAAATAAGCAACTACAATGATACTTATAGCTCTACATATGTAGCTGGCGTAATCATTGGTATATATGTGTAATGTGTGTGTTATAAATTTTGTGTATTCAGTACACTAATAAAAGACTGATTAAAACTTCATTCTTGTATTATATTACAGTCGTAGACTAAATAACTTGTCAACAAGTTCATTTGATATGGCCAACGGTGATTTTTTTGGAACACACAAGTATTAAATTTTTCAAAAATTCTTAATCCAATAACTTTTGTAAACTCTATCAATGAGCTACGCATGAGGTGCGGTACCCCATTTGGAGACATACTTGTTGTCGAACCACTCAGTCAAAAAGAAAAGAAAAAATATTTCGTTTAACTTTAAGATACGCGGATACCGAGTTACAGGTTGCCATAAGAAGAAGTGATCTATATGTGATTGGATTTAAGACTGGGGATGGTTGGCTTGAATTGCAAGAAAACAATCCTAAGAAGCAAGAAATTAAGGGGTCAACAATGATAAATCTAAGTATGGATTATGCTAGCCTAAGATTTGCGTCTGCCGATAAAAAGACTCTTTTAGGAGGACCTGAAATGTTAGGTAAGTCGTTGAACTTTCTAAAGGGGGTAAAGACATCTGAAATAAACTCAATGAAATTGCAACGTGCGGCACGAGAGTTATTAAAGCTCGTCATCACTATATCTGAATCACTCAGAGTCAACCACATTTTACACTTCGTATCAGATTTTTTTCGGAGAGGGATGTTCCAAGGCAAATCCAGAGTGGATCCTTGGTTTGGTGAATCAATGGGGAACTCTATTAAAATATGTTTTAAAGTATAAAGATTCAGGAGAGAAAGAAAAAGTTGCGGAAAAACTAGAGAAATTCCCTATTGAGGTTTATGATTGGAACAAGAAAAAAAAAAGTAAAGTTAACCAAAATGAAACACATCAAGTCTGCAATGGGTCTAATAAAGCGCTCAAGATTTGAAACAGGGGAGTCATCAAGAGAAAATCATTAAATATGTAAGTTCTAAATATTTTTAGTGTTTCTTTTATTCACATACTACCTCCGTCCCAATTTAATATACCAAGACTAAAAGAAAGTATGTGAATAAGGATGTTTTTACTTGGACTGTAATTTGTTGTTCTGGTCTGAACTGATCTAGTCTGGTCTGATTTCTTAGACCCATTGCAGACTTGATGTGTTTCACTTTGGTTAACTTTACTTTTTTTCTTGTTCCAATCATAAACCTCAATAGGAAATTTCTCTAGTTCCGCAACTTTTTCTCTCTCCTGTATCTTTATACTTTAAAACATATTTGGATAGTGTTCCCCATTGATTCACCAAACCAAGGATCCTATCTGGAGCTGCCTCAGAACATCCCTCTTCGAAAAAATCTGACACAAAGTGTAAAATATGGTTGAATCTGAGTGATTAATAGATAGTGATGATGAGCGTTAGTAATTCTCGTGCCAAATCTTGCAATTTCTTTGAGTTTATTTCAGATGTCTTTAGCCCTTCAGAAAGCTCAATGACTTACCTAACATTTCAGGTCCTCCTAAAAGAGTCCTTTTATTAGCAACGCAAATCTTAGACTAGCATAATCCACACTTAGATTTATCATTGTTGATCCCTTAATTTCTTGCTTCTTAGAACTATTTTCTTGCAATTCAAGACAACCATCCCCAGTTTTAAATCCAATCACATATAGATCACTTCTTCTTATGGCAACCTGTAACTCTGTATCCGCGTATCTTAAAGTTAAACGGAATATTTTTTCTTTTCTTTTTCACTGAGTGATTCGACAACAAGTATGTCTCCTAATGAGTTACCGAGCCTCATGCGTAACTCACTGATAGAGTTTACAAAAACTGTTGGATTGGGAATTCTTCAAAAATCTAATACTTGTGTGTTCTAAAAAAATCACTGTTGGCCATATCAAATGAATTTGTTGGCAAGTTGTTGAGTCTATATAATACAAGAATGAAGTTTTAATCAATCATTTAATAGTGTAGTGAGTATACAAAAATTATAACACACACATTAACCATATATACCAATGATTACGCCATATACATATGTAGAGCTATAAGTATCATCTTAGTTGCTTATTTCACAATATTGTAACAAGTATTACCAATACTACCTCCGTCCCTATAAACTTTGCCGTTTTCAAAACTTTGTCAACCTATATCTTTTTATTAGAAAAAATATTTATAATATAAAAAATTATATGAAAATGTTCTTTCTTAAGAGTACTTTAATAATAAAAGAATAGAATTTATTACTTTGATAATACTACACTAATCAAATTCATGGTTCAATGTTTTTGAAATGACAAAGTTTTTTGAGAGACAGAGAGTATTTTTTATGCAAATGAGACATGTTTCAAACATCTCGATCAATAAGCAGGAATCCTCTTACATATGCATATTCAAAAAATATGATTAAAAAATAAAAAGAAAGAACATTTAAATGAATAAACAAGGAGTTATTATCTTATTTTTAATAAATTAAGGCTGATTTTCACAAGTGTGACCACTTTTACATTTAGACAAAAATGTGACTAAATAAAGTGACAACCAAATATTCCTTTCACTGCCCCATTTTTATGTCATTGTCGGATGTCACTGCTGCTATCGTATGTCTCACTGCTTCTGCCATAGCTCGTATCACTTCTTCCATCATCGTTCGTGTCACTGCTGTCGCTGACCACAGTGACACCGCCGCATGCCACAATAACTGTCGTTGGCACTGCCCAATTACCGCCGCTGCACCACTTCATCCAGTGACCACCGCCTAGCCCCACAGGACATAGCCACCGGCAACCACCGGCCCCATGCCCCAGCACCCCAAACCCATTCCACCAGCCTAGGTGCCCACCGCCCCTGGTTGCACCCGCCCCATCCCCATCACCCTTCACAACGGGCAACTTTTGTCTGTGTCCACGGAAATTAATTGTCGTGTAAAAAAGTACACTGCCAGTTGTTTGACATTGACACCAGTTTACAAATCAATCTATATTTGTGAAATGACTGTGTGCACAGACAATATTTACCACACAGACAATCATCGTGCAGCTATTGTCTGTGTAATCAATCGTAGTTGTCGATGTAATCAATTTAAAATGTTTGGGTGAACAAAAATTGTAATTGTTTATATACATTCAAATGAATGATGTAGTTGTATCATCATTTTCATTTACCCCAGTGCCGCAAAGGCTCCCACCTACGGTGGGGTAAGGGGGGTCGGATGTACGCATGGACTGACTGCTGCTTCATAACAAAGAAGCGCAGACAGTTTTGTGAGTCATTTTGCTTTATTCCATCATAATCTCAAGCCAAAAAATAATGAATCTTTGGCTCCATTGCAAATGATGTAGTTGTATGTGTAAACAATTTATATGTAATTTGAAAAAAAATAGAAAAATAATAAAAATAGATGAATAAGCTGATTTTGTGCAAATAATGAGAAAAAATTGATATAAAAGGTAGAGAAAAAGAGGATGAAGAAGAAAAGAGGGGGATGAAGAAGATAAGATGATCATCCCATATTTTTTATTTGATAATTTTAAAAGGGATTGAGTAAAAAGGAAGGAGAGAAGGGAGAGTGACGGGAGAGAGAATGAAAGAGAAGAGGGAGGGGGGAAATGGTTTTTTTTTTTGGCTTTTATAGGGAAAAGGGGCAAATAAGGCCACGTACTAACCAAAAAAGGTCAAATAAGGCCTTATTTATGAAGTTCTGTCCGGCTTTCGCCATTTGGGGTGGTTCTCGGTGGAATTTTTTGATTAATTTTTTTGACCATCTTATTCATTAAGTCTAGTTTACTTATACCAAAGTTCAGATAAAAATTTAATCGAGAAGGCATTCAAATGAATTCTTGAAGATAACTGCGCTTTTAACTGCGCAATTATCTTCAAGAATTCATTTGAATGGCTTCCCGATTGAAGTTTTAGCTTAAATTTGGTATGAGTAAACTAGACTTGCTTTATAAGATGCCCAAAAAATTTCATCAAAAAATTCCACCGAGAACCAACCCAAATGGCGAAGGCCGGACATAGTCTCATAAATAAGGCCTTATTTGACCTTTTTTTGTTAGTACGTGGCCTTATCTGCCCCTTTTCCCGCTTTTATATCATGTACAACTTGTGTACATGATATCTCCAAATAGCAATTTCTATAGTGTCGAATTACAAACTTTAAAACACTAATGGTAAAAGGAGTTGTTTCTAACTTTCTATAACCAACTTCGCTTGCTATAGGGTCAAGTGAAGAAGGAAATGAGCTTCCAATCGACAAGGATGATATTATGAGATTTTTGGATCTAATGCATGTTCAGAAATTGGACCTGCCATTTATCGCTATGTATCGGAAGGAGGAATACATGACCTTGCTGAAGGATCCAGACCAGGGTGAAGTCAGCGATTTTGAGAATGCCTTCAACAAAATACCAGTGCTGAAGTGGCACAAGGTGCTTTGGGCAATTATGGATTTAGACAGAAAGTGGTTTCTTCTTCAAAAGCGAAAGGCTGCCCTCCAGTCATATTATAGCAAACGCTTTGAAGAGGAGTCACGCAGGGTGTATGATGAAACAAGGCTGTATCTGAACAAACAGCTTTTTGAATCGATATCCAAATCACTTAGAGAAGTTGATGATGTTGATTTAAAGTTTAACCTACACTTTCCACCTGGTGAAATTGGTGTAGATGAAGGTCAATTTAAGAGGCCAGCAAGGAAATCAGACTATAGCTATTACAGCAAGGCTGGGTTGTGGGAAGTTGCAAATAAGTTTGGTTACAACTCTGAGCAATTCGGGCTGCTGATATCTCTGGAAAAAAAATAGAATGGATGAGTTGGAAGACCCTAAGGAAACACCAGAAGAGATGGCTTCAAACTTCACCTGTAGGATGTTACAATCACCACAAGAAGTTCTCAAGGGTGCTAGGCACATGGCAGCAGTTGAGATTAAGTGTGAACCCAGTGTCCGGAAATATGTCCGTTCTGTGTATATGATGGATGCTGTAGTATCTACATCCCCTACTCCGGAAGGGAATACAGCTATTGATCTTTTTCATCAGTTTGCAAGGGTGAAGTGGCTCAAGGACAAGCCACTTTCAAAATTTGATGATGCAGAATGGCTTCTCATACAGAAGGCTGAAGAGGAGAAGCTCTTGCAAGTTACTATAAAGCTGCCAGTTTCCCCCCTTGATAAGCTTTGTTCAGAAGCCAGTGAAAATTACCTTAGTGAATGTGTTAGTAAATCTGCTCAACTGTGGAATGAACAAATGAAGTTGATACTTGAAGATGCAATCCACAATATGCTTTTACCATCAATGGCTAAAGAAGCACGTTTGATGTTGTCAAGCAGAGCAAAGAATTGGCTACTTTCAGAATACGGTGAGCTTTTATGGAACAAAGTATCTGTTGGTCCATATCAGGTAAGAGAAAACGGTGGTAGCTCAGATGAGGATACACCGCCAAGGGTTATGACATGCTGTTGGAGTCCTGGAAAGCCAGCAACCACATTTGTGATGTTGGATTCGTCTGGAGAAGTTTTAGAGATCTTGTATGCAGGGTGTCTCAGCCTTCGTGGTATGAATGTTAATGATGAGCAGAGAAAGAAGAATGATCAGCAAAGGCTTTTAAAGTTTATGCTAGATCACCAACCTCACGTGGTTGTTTTAAGAGCTGTAAATTTGTCTTGTACACGTCTGAAGGAGGATATTTATGAGATTATTTTTAAGATGGTTGAGGATAATCCGAGAGAAGTTGGACAGGAGATGGATAATTTAAACATCGTGTATGGAGATGAGTCCCTTCCCCATCTCTATGAGAACTCACGAATTTCTTCCGACCAGCTTCCTGCTCAGCCTGGTATTGTGAGGCGCGCCGTGGCTCTTGGGCATTACCGTCAAAACCCTTTAGCAATGGTTTCTTCGCTTTGTGGGTCGGGGAGGGAGATCCTATCCTGGAAGATGAGTTCAATGGAAAACTTTCTCACTCCTGATGAGAAGTATGGTATGGTTGAACAAATCATGGTCGATGCTACTAACCAAGTTGGTCTAGATCTTAATTTGGCTATAAGTCATGAGTGGTTATTTGCTCCTCCTCGATTTGTATCTGGGCTTGGACCCAGAAAGACCTGTTGACAGAACAGTACCTTGGTAAGAAGGTGTTCATCAACGCAGCTGGTTTTCTGAGAGTCCGGCGAAGTGGTTATGCGTGTAACAGTAATACATATATTGACTTGCTGGATGATACAAGGATACATCCAGAATCGTACAGTCTTGCACATGAATTGGCCAAAGATGTGTATCTTAAAGATATTGGCGAAGATAAAGCTGATGATGATGAAGTGCTGGAAGCGGCTATTGAGCATGTAAGGGAGAATCCCAAATTACTAAGAAGTGTTGATCCTTATAAATATGCAGATGCTAAGCAGAGAGTTAATAAAAAGGAAACCCTGAATGATATAAGACTTGAGCTGATGCAAGGATTCCAGGATTAGCGAAAACCATATCAGCAGCCCAGCCAAGATGATGAGTTTTACATGATTTGTGGGGAGACCGAGGAAACATTGTTCGAAGGAATAACAGTACAAGCAACTATTCGCAGGGTCCAACCTCAGAAAGCTATATGTTCCCTTGAAAATGGTTTGACTGGCATACTCATGAAGGAAGACTCGCCGGATGCTTGGAAGGATATAGATGACTTGCCAGAAAAGTTGCATGCAGGCGAAGCATTGACATGTAGAATCAAGTCAATCCAAAAGATGAGATACCAGGTGTTTCTGAGTTGCAAAGAGAATGATATGAGAGGTAACCGCTTCATTAATAATAAGTACGTGAGTGATTTCTACTGTGAAAATCACAGCAGCTTAGAGAATATACAAGAAAAAGCTCGCAAAGAGAAGGAGCTCACAAAGAAGCATTTTAAGCTAAGGATGATTGTTCATCCGCGTTTTCAAAACATAACAGCAGATCAAGCAATGGAGTTTCTATCTGCCAAAGAACCTGGTGAAAGTATCATACGCCCTAGCTCCCGTGGTCCCTATTTCTTAACTTTAACACTCAAAGTTTATGACGGCGTTTATGCTCACAAGGATATAGTGGAAGGTGGAAAGGAACACAAGGATATTACAAGCCTGCTCTGCATAGGGAAGACTCTGAAAATTGGGGATGACACATTTGAGGATTTAGACGAGGTAATGGACCGTTACGTTGATCCATTGGTTGCGCATCTGAAGGCAATGCTGAACTACCGGAAGTTTAGGAAGGGCACTAAAGCAGAAGTTGATGAACTACTTGCTCATCTAAAGGCAATGCTGAACTACCGGAAGTTTAGGAAGGGCACTAAAGCAGAAGTTGATGAACTACTACGCATTGAAAAATCTGAGAAACCAATGAGGATTGTCTATTCTTTTGGTATATCTCACGAACATCCAGGCACTTTCATACTCACTTATATTAGAAGTTCCAACCCACACCATGAATATGTGGGTATGTATCCCAAGGGGTTCAAGTTCAGAAAGAGAATGTTTGAGGATATCGACCGCCTTGTGGCATACTTTCAAAGACATTAATGATCCACCAGATTCTGCACCATCAATACGATCAGTTGCTGCAAAGGTCCCTATGCGAAGCCCTACCAATGGCGGTGGCTGGGGTGGTGATTCATCAACTGACGAGAGGGGTGGCGGTTATCGACATGAATATTTGGTTGTAACTTTATTTTAGTCACATTTTTGTCCAAATGTAAAAGTGGTCACACTTGTGAAAATCAGCCTTAATTTATTAAAATTAAGAAAATAACTCCTTGTTTATTCATTTAAATGTTCTTTTTTTTATTTTTTAATCATATTTTTTGAATATGCATATGTAAGAGGATTCCTTCTTATTGATCGAGATGTTTGAAACATGTCTCATTTGCATAAAAAATACTACCTCTATCTCAAAAAACTTTGTCATTTCAAAAACATTGAACCATGAATTTGATTAGTATAGTATTATGAAAGTAATAAATTTTATACTTTTATTATAAAAGTACTTTTAAGAAATAACATTTTAATATAATATTTTATATTATAAATATTTTCTAATAAAAAAATATAGTTGGTCAAAGTTTTGAAAACGTCAAAGTTTATTGGGACGGAGGTAGTATTGGTAATACTTGTTACAATATTGTGAAATAAGCAACTAAGATGATACTTATAACTCTACATATGAACCTGGCGTAATCATTGGTATATGTGTGTAATGTGTGTTATAATTTTTGTATACTCACTACACTAATAAAAGACTGATTAAAACTTAATTCTTGTATTATATTACGGTCGTAGACTATATTACTTGTCAAGAAGTTCATTTGATATGGCCAACGGTGATTTTTTTTTGAACACACAAGTATTAGATTTTTCAAGAATTCCCGATCCAACGGCTTTTGTAAACTTTATCAATGAGTTACGCATTAGGTACGATACCCCATTAGGAGACATACTTGTTGTCGAACCACTCAGTCAAAAATAAAAGAAAAAAATATTCCGTTTAACTTTAAGATACGCGGATACCGAGTTACAGGTTGCCATAAGAAGAAGTGATCTATATGTGATTGGATTTAAGACTAGGGATGGTTGGCTTGAATTGCAAGAAAACAATCCTAAGAAGCAAGAAATTAAGGGGTCAACAATGATAAATCTAAGTATGGATTATGCTAGTCTTAGATTTGGGTCTGCCGATAAAAGGGCTCTTTTAGGAGGAACTAAAATGTTAGCTATGTCGTTGAGCTTTCTAAAGGGTGTAAAGACATCTGCAATAAACTCAATAAAATTGCAAGGTGTGGCACGAAAGTTATTAAAGCTCATCATCACTATATCTGAATCACTCAGATTAAACCACATTTTACACTTCGTATCATATTTTTTCGGAGAGGGATGTTCCAAAACAGCTCGAGAGTGGATCCTTGGTTTGGTGAATCAATGGGGAACACTATCCAAATATGTTTTAAAGTATAAAGATTCGGGAGAGAAAGAAAAAGTTGCGGAACTAAAAATTTCCTATTGAGGTTTATGATTGTAACAAGAAAAAAAAAGTAAATTTAACTAAAGTGAAACACATCAAGTCTGCAATGGGTCTAATAAAGCGCCCAATATTTGAAACAGAGGAGTCATCAAAAGGAAATCATTAAATCTGTAAGTTCTAAATATTTTTAGTCTTTCTTTTATTCACATGCTACCTCCGTCCCAATTTAATATACCAAGATTAAAAGAAAGTATGTGAATAAAAGAAAGACTAAAAATACATAGAACTTACATATTTAATGATTTCCTCTTAATGACTCCCCTGTTTTAAATCTTGGGCGCTTTATTAGACCCATTGCAGACTTGATGTGTTTCACTTTGGTTAACTTTACTTTTGTTTTCTTGTTCCAATCATAAACCTCAATAGGAAATTTCTCTAGTTCCGCAACTTTTTCTCTTTCCTGAATCTTTATACTTTAAAACATATTTGGATAGTGTTCCCCATTGATTCACCAAACAAATGATTCAGTCTGGAGCTGCATCAGAACATTCCTCTCCGAAAAAATCTGATACAAAGTGTAAAATGTGGTTGAATCTGAGTGATTAATAGATAGTGATGATGAGCGTTAGTAACTCTCGTGCCAAACCTTGCAATTTCTTTGAATTTATTTCAGATATCTTTACTCCCTTCAGAAAGCTCAATGACTTGGCTAACATTTCAGATCCTCCTAAAAGAGTCCTTTTATCAGTAGACGCAAATCTTAGGCTAGCATAATCCGTACTTAGATGTATCATTGTTGACCCCTTAATTTCTTGCTTCTTATTACTGTTTTCTTGCAATTCAATACAACCATCCCCAATCTTAAATCCAATCACATATAGATCACTTCTTTTATGGCAACCTGTAACTCTGTATCCACGTATCGTAAAGTTAAACGGAAATTTTTTTTTCTTTTTTTTGCACTGAGTGGTTCGAGAACAAGTATGTCTCCTAATGAGTTACCGAACCTCATGCGTAACTCATTGATAGAGTTTAAAAAAGCTCTATCACCATTGGGAATTATTGAAAAATCTAATACTTGTGTGTTCCAAAAAAATCACCATTGGCCATATGAAATTAACTTGTTGACAAGTTGTTTAGT